AACTAAAGGTGTAATTAATCAGTCAAACAATTGTTCCTCCTCAAAGTTACAGCTTCGAAGAGAGACCTGGCAAAGACTAAAAGTCTTAAATTTTGCAGAATTCCTTATGTGAAACTGGGATTGTATCAGTCCTCAGAAACCACTTTATTGTCTTAAATAAGGGTCACGTGTGATTAGCATAACACAGTACAGTAGCTTAGCAGGGTAGTTTCAAGTTAAGCCACAAAAAATTCAGATTTCAAAAAATAAAGAGTGACAAAAATGTAAAAGAAGAAATAATGCAAAACATATTTATTCATAATTTGAATTAAAAGAAAATGCTCATTCCCTAGTCTGTAAGGATAGTGCCAGTTAATTAATGTCCACCCACTATAAACAGATAAGAAAAATGTAATATAACTAGAAAAATGTAAGTGAAAACTACTAGAAGGAAAAAACAGTTCTCCATTAAATTACTGGAAAAAGTGACAAATGTGACATAAGTCAACTTTGGCAGGATTTAGCTGACTGTTACATGGATACCTTAATGATGGAAGGAAACAATGAGTTATCTATTTCTTGAAGGAACTGTAGCCATCTGTCAAATCATGAATCATGAGATCAGAAAAGTGGCAATGCCTTCTGTGCCAGCTTTACACTCATTGGTGGATATACGCCATCCAGCAAGAGACATGAAAGGGGAGAAACACTGCACAAAGCAGTTTAGCACCACATCACATATTAATCCTAAAATTTGGAAACAGCTCATATGCTCAATTATTTGGAAAAAGCTATGAAAGTATTAAATTAAATTTATGATAGGTTATGTATATGTATAATACATATATACACATGTATATGCAATTATTAAAAGAACCAATTTAAGGAATTTGAGGGAATATAGAAAGAAGTAAATAAGGTAAAAAGCAAAATTGATATTCATACACACTGAGAGCCAACTGTATGGATTGTGGGATTTTAGAGATGGAAACAGTTCATTCTTCACAACAGAGGCTCTGAAATTGTACAAAAAGGATCTATGGCACTTGTTAAACCTTGGAAGTTTAGAAAGGCATCTGGAATGTGGATGGAGAAATCTTTATTTAAACTAAACTCCCCAGATAATCCTAACTTACAACACTTTGGTAAATATTTTTTGCGTGCTGGATGTTGGGAATATTTCTAGTTCGTTTTTGTGACGTTTTTCTATGTGTACAACAAGATATTGTGCCTCTTCAAACATCGAGTAGGCTCGTCTTGTTAATAATAGATATTTTCAGAGATACATTGAGGGGCTGACAAATTCCATGATGTAATTTTCCTCAGAAGATGAATTCCATGATGTATATGCAATTTCCCCCAGAAAATGGAAGTGCTTTAAGCAGGGGATGAAGCCAGTGAAGATACGGACGTTTGGGCTGCAGACTAGGAAAATCAATAGCAGAGCATTCTGTCCCTACTACCCACAATTCAAACCCCATGCCTGCAAAATCGCTGAGTCTCCCAGAACGCTCGCTACCTGATGCAGCTTCAGCAGCAACTGATATGAGAGCTCTCCTTCCTCTTTGACATGTTTTCTTCACTTGGCTTCCAGGACACCACCCTCTCTTGACCATTCTCCTGAAGTCCTGGTGCCTGCTTTTGGTCCTCTTTGCTGTTTTTCCTGACCCCTCTCTCAGTTCATGACCCTTTTTCTTATTTCTATCTATACTTACACCCTAGTGTTCCCAAACATTAATACCACTAAGTGATGTCATTGAACCTTTCCCCTAAACCTTAGTTTTTTATGCCCCACTACTTAGTTAACAATTTTACTCAAATGCCTAACAGACTTCTCAGACTCAACACACTGAAAAGTGAACTGATTTTCACCCCAAAATCTCTTTCCCCAGCAGACATTCCCTGCATTCACTCCTTCTCTCCACCCTTGGTCTGTTTTCACTACAGCAGCTAAAGTTATCCTTTCAAAATTTAAGTCAGATCATGGAATTCCTTTGCTCAAGTCCCTCAGTGGCTGTCATCTAACTTGGAGTAGAAGGTAAAACCGTCCCTCTGACATGGAAAGCCGCCCTGATCTGGCCACTGTTACCTTGCTGACTATCTCTGTTCCTTCTCTCAAACACTCCAGTTCAGCCACATGGCTTTCCTGGTATCCCTCAAAACACACAGCATTCTCCTGTGTCAGGGTCTTTGCAACCACTGCTTCCTCTATCTGGAATGACTTTCCTCTCATCACTTGTTCACATGGCATCCTCATCACCTACCTCAGACTTTGTTTAAATGTCTCCTTCAAATGACATGACCGCCAGATTGAAACTGAGCCAGGCCCAGTCCTTATCCTGCCCCCTCACCTTCCAACATAAGCTAGCATGTACTCATTTACTACATCTATTGGTGCAGTTTTTTCCTTGGCATGTCTCACACTAGAATACAAGCTCTACAAGGTTATGGAGTTTTTGTTGTTGCCTCTTTTGCTCATGGTATGTCAGAAGTACCCAGAACAGTGCCTGGCATACGGGATCGCTGCATGTATTTGTTGAATAAATGAAGTCACCAACTGTCAAAGTCACATAATGTCAATTCTCTATAGAAGACAGTAGTTTCATGTAATGATATCACTGCCTCTCAAAAAGATAGGGCTTTTGTTAATCGCCTGTAACTGCAGATAACATCTAGTGTAATTATTATTATTATTATTATTATTATTGTTATTATTATTATTTTTGCTAAGCCATAGTAACTTGGGGAAACAGGAGGAAGTAAAATACTTTGACTCAGAGTCTATACTTTGAGTCTCTATACAAGGTCTCACTTGGATGTCTGCGGCAGGTAAAACTTTGCCTTTCCTTAAAGGACCAGGCTTACAATCACTCATGCACTCCAAGGGTCTTTGTCTCCACAATGCCTCCCCCTAAGGAAGGTCATGTAGGCCTTTACCAACTCTGAATTTAGGGAGCTCCAGGTACTTCAGAAGGGAGAAGGTAGAAGCTTCTAGAAAACATCTTTGCCTACTCCTCCTTAGTCATTCTACATATCTTGGTTTCATCACACCTACAAAATTTCATGCATTAATCTGTCTACTTTCTTTCCTGCCCTACAAGTCAGCCTGTCTCATTGAGAGCAGGAACCATCAGCATACCCCTGGTACATACAAAAGACTGAGAAGCACGTGATGATTCCTCAATAAATGTTCATATAATCAATAAATGATCCAGAGTTTCATAAGGTAAGAATTCATTACAAATAAGAAGAGACTTAATGAAATATTAATTGACACAGCTTAGAGCTAAGAATCGATAAATCACCGTAAGGACAAAATTGTGCACAGGGAATTCTGAAAGATCCTACTTTTTTATTCCTTTGTTAGTCAGAAAGGAAATGGCTTCTCTTCTAACTATTTATTCACCATCAAAGCAGTCATGAACTATTTAAGTAAACACTGTTCATAAAGCACTCTTACACTAGATGTTTAGAGTACTAAGAAGAAGACCTGGATTAGACTGTAGAACTTTCAACAGACACTTAGCTTTCCAAATCTTATATTTCTCACCTGTGAAATGAGGTTAGTATTTCTCTCTGCCTTCCTTCAGAATATTACTGTATGGGTAAAATGAGAGCAGGCCTATAAAACTTCTTTAATAAAAACAAAACTTACTATTGTCATTCATTCTCTATTTACCCTTCAGTTTTCAGTCGTTCAAAAAAAATTAAATATCTGAAGAACTATTCTGCCGGGCGTGTTTCCACCCAAGTCATATTATGTGAGTGACTATGAACTCTACAGAAAAAAGGAAGGCAAGAAAATTTGCAATGTTTTTCACTTGCTCCAATCTTCCTAACTACTTTGGAAGTAAATTTTGTAAGACAGCTCAAGACTTGATTGATCGATTGATTGACTGATTGACTGATTTTGAAACAGGGTTTCACCTAGTTTCCTAGGCTGGTCTGTAACTCCTGAGCTTAAGTGATATTCCTGTCTTAGCCTCCCAAGCACCTGGGACCGAGGGCTACATCACTGTACCTGGTTTGAGCTTTATTTTTAAATTTTTCTTCATACAGAATCACTTTTACCCCACATTAGCAAATGGAGCCAAAATTCATGTGAAGCTTGAATTTAGGAATGTTCCAGTCTAATTATAACTAGTTTTGACATATTTCCAAATGATATTATTGTCTGAATGATTGTCCTGTGGGCTTTGCTGATCCAGGAAAGGTAAATGATTCTTCTTCCTAATTTTTCCATGTGAAATACGGGAGCTCATATTCAGATTTTACATTACAGACAGTCTTTTTGATTCCTTAGTTTGTGATTTCTCACCATTGCCTTTGTTAGCTGTTTTGGTATCTCTGATCATCTTCCTACTTCAGGAACAGATAAGCAAAAAGTCTAGTGGAATTATTGGAGAATTTATTACTAACAGGACAATTTCAACTACAGATGGTACAAAATGCCCAGCTAAAATGCAATTGCTACATTTCAAGTAATATTTAACCTTAAGGAAAGGATAACCAAGGATGGCAGCAACCACAGCAGCTAGATTTTTATTTTATTTTTTTATTCTTATTATTGTTGTACTGGGGGTACATTGTGACATTTATAAAATTGATTACACTATATCTTAGTTAAATTCAATCCCTCCATCATTCTCCTTTACTCCCCTCCCCCCTTAGAATAGTGAGGTGCATTGTACCATTTTACGTAAATGAGAGCACAATATTTCCTTCATAGTCGCCCTCCTATACACTTTCCTTATATCCTCCACACCCTCCGCCGGTACCAACCCCTAGATAGGATCTGTTTTACCTTCCTGTCCTTCGTTTTTGACAAAAGACATTTCTGTTTGTTTTAAGATAAGTATACAGGAGTTTCATTATGACATTTCCATGTATATATGTATTATATCCCAAATTGGTTCATCCCTAGATTTTATTTTAAGCAAAAATTAAATAACCTTAAAATCCTCACCAAATATTTATGTTGTTAATTTTTATTTTAATTAAAGCAAAATCCCTTCACTTACCTGACTGATGTCACTCATCCAGGCAGCTTTCTCCTGGCGTGAAGGTGCTAACAAGACCACAGTGAAGGGGGCAGCATCAGGAGGCTCCACCACTATCTTAAAATCCAGGTGTCCAAACATGTGCCCAGAACCTTTAGCTTCAACACACATAAACCAAACAATTAGATGTGAATACCACACATGAGCAATAGCTGCTTTCACACAGCTCTACTAATACAACCTGTGTACATTCAAGTCCAGAACCTCTTTCAGCAATAACATGCTTCTTGGGCATGGAAAAGGCCCTACTAAGCTCATGAAAAGGTGAAAAGGCTGAGGACAGTGGGTATCCATGACTAGGATGCCAAACTCTTCCTCATTTCATGTTTATTTTAATTTCCATAATGTATTGAAATCCATCACTGCAATTCCACTTGCTTTCTTCTTTACCTGACACTGAAAAGTCATTATTGTGAGACAAATTCAGGAGAATTGCCAGTTCCCAAAGATGGCTTAACATGGCTCACAGGTTAAATGGCTCAACAGGTAAGCAGCAATTTATCCTCAGCATCTCTCCTGCCTCTGTAGGCAGCAATTCTTAACTATAAAAGATTAAAAGCCCATAGAACTTTATGTTTTTATCCTAACACAATTCTAAATGATAGAATGTGACTTACAGTCATCATCACTTGCATCAGGCTCCTCAATCAACGTACATTGGATGAGAGACAGAACACCACCTGTCTGTAAACAAACCAATGTCTCATTAAGAGGCTGATGGTCTTGTGTAAGCCAGGAAGCTCTGATTTGTTAATTATATTCAGGTTACCACAGAAGAAAGCACTGCAATTCTGAATCATAAATAATTTTTCATAAAGTCCAAAATTCAACTAAGATATATCAAATGACCTGAATTCACTGAATTACAATTAAATTCTCCCTTCCACTCGCTTTTCCTTCCAATGTTTATAGATTTTAGTGATTTCATCTATGGGAGACTAGATGGCACCACAGTGATAGAGAGTACCTGCAGCTCAGCAAAAGGCTGAACTCACCAATAGAAAGCCACTGAATAATATTTTAATAATTACAAAGAATAGATAGGCAAACTTTTCCTATAAAGGGCCAGATAGTAAATTTCCTAGGCTTTGCAAGCCATATCATAGCATGAGAGCAGCCATAGGCAATATGTGAACAAATGAATGTGGTTGTGTTACAATAAAGCTTTATTAACAAAATCAGACAACAACCAGTAGGCCATAGTTTGCCAAATCATAGTACACAGCAAGATAACAAATATTGTATCAATATACTGTAGTGATTTGACAAGATTTTTATAGCTGATATCAACCAGCAATAATTGTGTCCAGGTTATGATTTTAATTGGACTTCTTTATGATAATGCACACTTCAAATAAACTTCTATTATTTTTGCATCCAAATGACAACAAAGTAAATGTGAGAGTTATTGACTGTACATCACTTCCCTCTTTATACAATCAGGGCCACCTGTTTCATGACAACAGCTGCCATGGGAAATCACACGAGTGACCCTCAAAACCTCGTAAGTGCCGGGAACACAAATGGAATAGTTACGGGAAGCCCGTACCTTAAGCAGATGCAGCTTTCCTCCTGAACTTCTTGTACAAATTAGAAAGTGTTTTGTAAACAAGAAGCACTGTCTCTCTCCTTCCTTTTTCAAAGACAATGAACCCAGGCGAACTTTACTAAGTTTTCCCCTCTCAACGGAAGGTACTTGAATAAGAGAACCTGGTGATTACAAAAGTGAAGAATACACAGCAATTAAAATTCTGCCAACTGAGGACCATGCCCTTGGAAATATACGCAAGGGCCTGTTTCCCCAGCAGACACCAACGATTTATTTGATGCATTGTTAGAACAAATAAATCTCCTACACTCTGAGCAGAAGAAACAGTGCATTGTATTTTAAGAGCTGGACTGTTCTAGTATTTTTGTGAAACACTTTAGACTTGATCCCTTATCTGTAAACTGGAACATAAATTTGAAAGAAAGTCAAATTAAACTCAAAGAATGAGTCACTTCTGCCATGTGTCCTCAGTGATCTGACTCCAGTCAATTTATTCTTAATGATATCATATAAATCATTAATTATACATGGTAATATAATAATTTGATTTTAAAAATACAGAATTTATTTTTCCTGAAGTAATGAAAATAGGTAAACAACATACTTAGGGCTGACAGAATGGCTCAAGTGGTAGAAAGACTGCCTAGCAAGTGTGAGGCCCTGAGTTCAAACCCCAGTACAGCCCCAAACAACAACAATATACCTATAGAGTTCACTCTGCATTTTTGAAAAGAAGGTATAATACATGTATATTGTAAAAATTCATGAATTATGTAATTTAGTGCAATTTATTTAAGAACCATCTTTTAAAGGACAGCTATTTCAAGTTGCATTTGTATTATGTGTTGCAGGTGGGTGCTGGCAACTCATGGCTGTGATCCTAGCTACTTGGGAGGCTGAGATCAAGATCACAGTGTGAGGCCAGCCTGGACAAATAGTTCTTGAGACCCCTATCTCCAAAATAACCAGAGCAAAATGCACTGGAGTTATGAGTCACGTGGTAGAGTGACTGCTGTGCCAGCACAATGACCTGAGTTGAAGCCCCAGTCCCACCAAAAATAAACAAATATGTGATACAAAGAGCCATTATTTTGTGTCATTAATATTTGCTAATTTTAAAAGGAAACCTAAAAATGTGAGATAAAAATTCTTCGTGAAATCTAAATGGAAAATAAACAGAGCCCTCCTGTAAGCAAAACTATCTTCCATTCAATGTGTGAAGCTAATGTACAGACTTTATATAATATTGAGATTACCTCTGAATATTTTTAGATTATACTCTAATAACAATCACCCTGGCCCTAAAATAGAAAATTCTAATCTAAGTTAAATATCAAACCAAAAGGTGCCAAGAAACATTCTTGCAAACACCTTGGTTTTAACTTCTGAAATCCCCTGAGCCAGTAACAGTTCTAATTTGTTTAATCCACAACCCACCCCAACTACAGACCTCAGAAGAATCACTGAATGCACATTCAACCCTTAAGTGTTAACAGTAGTCATCCCTAAGAGAGGAGACTGCAAGCAACCTTATTTTCCTCTTCATATTTTCTGGTTTCCTGAGTTTTTTTCAATGAGCACAGATTACTTCTACAAGTAGAAAAAGATAAAACACAGGAGTTCTTTACATTTACATATACACCTGAGACAGTAAAACTATGATTGTGAACATACAATCCTCACATTAACATATGAGTATTTCAAATTGCATCCACTTTTTAACAGAAATAGAAAGATGTGTTTGGTGGTAAAGAACTCAATTCTCCATGCCCTGATCTCACATCATCTATTTAAGTGAGTGTTTAGGTGGGATACTTGACAGACAGTGTAGGCAGCTATTCTGAGCCTGAAGAATAGCAAGGAACCAGTCCTGGGGGAGGCAACAGAAGTGTTGAACAAAGGGCCAAAAGATGCCTTGACTCCAGTGAAGGGATTGAACAAGCAGAGTGTGAGTGAAGGAGGTAGGTGGGAACAAACTGGCAGACAGCTCATCTAGCAAAGATTTAAACATGAAAAGTAGAAGAGCTACAGAGAGAGCAAAAGGCAGAAGGTTAGAAAGGTGGATGAGCAAGTACTAGGAGCAAAAGGATTTTGTATTCATGGGACTCTTGGGGATAGAATCAAAACCAGAGTAAGTTTTTCAGAGGCTTTGGTTCAATCCCTCTCCCCATTCAAAACATGAGGATTCTGAGGCCTGAGGCTAAGTAGTTTTCCTAAGTTCACCCCTGAGTGAGGAGCACAATCAGGAGATAGCAGTGGATTCAACAACATAAAAACTGGAACTTGCAAAGGGATGGGATGGGCTAAGACAGTGGCAGTGCCAGCTTTGGCATGGTTCCGAGTCTTCCAGGAAGACTAGTTAGGCCTGAGTGACAGAACTTGGACAAGTGTCTTGGTTGACAAATGGATTGGAGAGTCATTTTCACAAAAGCTCTAACCAAGTCTATAAAAACTCAGTTATGATGTGTTCACTGGCAAATAATTCTAGCAATTTAGTAATTTTGTAAGTCAAAAATTACAAAATATACTGCTAGCTCATATATTAGCAATTACTATGAATTTCAGCTTTGAGGTTGAAAAATGTTTCCTTGGCAACCATACATTGATAGGCTTAATCTACAACTGTTCAACTCATTAAAGTAGGAGACTACACATAAGAAGGGTGGTCAGAAATCTGTACATCTGAATTAAAAGTGAAACATTTTTAACATTACTTGGTTTATAAAATAAAATGCTTGGAAAAAGCATCTTATACAGGTTTGTTTTCATATTTCATCTTATATTCGACATTATATTTCACCATGGCCGAGAGACCTGAAGAAGAGATTCCTCTTTAGTTAATACAACTCAGGGAAGGAATTAGTAGTGAATCAGAAATTCCTCGGTATCAGGCCATCCCTATGGCATCCTGATCATCAGCTTGTATCTATTAACTGGGGCCCACTTACAGCAAGACTTCTGCTATTTCAATTACTAAATTCCCATGGGATAGCCTGGCTAATGCTCTGATTCTGAATTCCACTCAGCAGTGAAAAAAGTGAAGAGAAATGTCCAAGTCATTGGGTTAGGCATTTGAGTCAGTAGAACTATTTCTAGACCTTGTGCTATGATTTCAGAAAACCCTGGTATGTTGAAAGCATGCAAGTTAAGAGTCTGGGAATGATTAAGGGGCCAGAGAGGTCTCAGCTCATTCCTAAAGCATTTCGCTCTGGATTCATTTACCTTTGCTTAATTTTCCTGATTTACATTTTGACAGAGACAATGTTGACAATGCAGAATAGGTTTATACAAAATGTTAATTTAGGGTGCCTTTATCTTTGAACAAATATTCATATATATTTCATGTTACTGAAACAGAAACTCATTCCAAAATTTGGATGTTAGATTTTAAAATTAGTGTCATAATCTCACAGGCACCAGTCTGGATGCTTGTGTGAGCATTAGTTCATTTAATGCTCACAGCAATCCTAAAAGATGGTAACTATTACAAATTCCAATGGAAGGAAACAAAGGCAAAGAAAGGTTAAGTAAATTGCCCAATATCATACAGCAAGGAAGTGGGAAGACAGGCTTTGACTTCTAGTGATAAGACTAAACTGTTTTCCTATAGTAGCCTCGGATCCTTCCATATTTATTCAACAAAGTTAAATATTAGATTTTGAAAAGTAAATGGTATAATATAATTCATTGCTTCCTATTCATCAAACTATCCCATCTAATACTTGGAATCCACTTATAATAAAGCTTTGGTGATTTCAAACACTAAATCCCCATCAAATGGCATTCAAAGAGTGGCTGACACTCTTACTCTGAGGAGAACCTTTTGGAGGACCTGGATGATGTATTTTTCCAGTCCTTAGAATAAAGGTTCATAGAAGGTTGAAAGTACATGTGTCCATGTAAAAATATATACACACTGACACAGACTTTACAACATCCATAAAAGTAATTACAAAAATACTAACACACCATTAGAGATAAACTGTAATTCATTTCATAGAAAATGAAATTCCTTGAAATTTTAAAGAATAATAATTTTTAAAAAGCATTTCAATGTGTCTTAAAGCCAGGTAAGGGTGTTTAATCAAAGTGATTATAAGAGCAATCAAAGCAAAACAGGACAAAGTTTACAAATTGTAATTGATCTCTTTCACTGTCGGATTAAGGTTTGACATTTAGAGACCACCTTTATTGAATGATTCCTAAACACACTAACCAGATCAAACATGCAGAAAAATACCACTGAAAGGCAAATTATCATCTCGATATCCATACAATAAATACGTCAGGAGTAATAGTACCTGGCAAGTGCCTTGAACATGAGGTATACGACAAGTTTATAAATAACATGCAGACTTCAAGGAAGAAGTGGTGCATGATTGTTTTTTCCCCCATGTACAATGAAAAAAATGTGACTTAATCAATATATTTGACATTCCATTATATGTTTCCCATTATACTTGTTCAAACTCACACTGGTACAATTGAAGTTTTTAGAAAAATACTGAATGCTTATGGTGAAAACACTGTTGGGAAACTGCATGCTAGTGATACATACTTTTGTTTCCATTCTCACATAGTTTAAAGCACAGGCATTTTTGGTGAGCTCCAAATACAAGAAAAATAAAAAATAAGATATCTTAAACTATCACAATTACAATTCAATAAGTAGTTCAATTCACTTCAATGCCCATTTTCTAGGCAGCTGTAATGTAACCATCATTCTAATAAGGTGAGGCAGAGAATTCCTAAATGCTGTCCTTCGGAACTTACAATCATGGGGAGAAAGAGGCAAGCAGACAGGTACTATACACAAAAGGACAGACTCCATGCACCAGGAGCCATGGGCCTTGGAGACTGAGAGGAAAGTCTATTCACTGCAACAGGAGGGGTGGGCAGGCAGAGGAGTGATTTCAAAAGGCTCTTTGGAGGTTTCCCACCTAAGCCTGGTAGGATAAACCCATCTTTCGTAGGCACAAAAGGGGTAGCGCAACATTTTCCCTGCCCCAGGCTGGGAATGGCACAAAAGTGAAGGCACAAAAAAAGTACCCAGTAAGCAGAAAGCCAATAAAGGGCCAGCAAGTGGGGAGGAACAGGAGAGGAACTACAAAGGCCTGATGATGTTAGTATCATATTCCACTATTATCTAAAGAAAAACGAGCCAAAAATGGGGAAAGAAAAATCATTTCCTAAAATATATTCTAACACATGTGTGCTTCCTTTCCTGGTAAATAAATAGTGGAAAATAGAATGGCATGTGCTAAACTTTTTAAGTATTCTCTGCAGAAATTAATGTGCACAACATAATGTCTTATTTGATGAGGTTTGGAAAAAACATTCTTAAGCATCACATCGTGGTAGGCAGCAGCAATGCAAATATCTTCAAAGGATATTGGCACATTAGAACGACAAGCAGCATTAATAATTAATTCAAGACTCAAATTTTTGTTCCATTTTTTCACCAAACTTGAAATTACAAATGTGTGCATATAGTACACTGATCGTTCAAGTTCATTGCATGAGCATAGTACTCCTCTCCCAAATACCTGAGCTCTTAAAAAACTCAGAACGTGGTTTGCACTTTGAAGTAAGAGCTGAGGAAGAACGTGCAGTCAGGTTGTTGCTTTTGCATGGTTTCTGACACAAATATCTTCAGCTCTTCAAAAGCTTAATTTGTCAGGTGATGTCCTCAAAATATACTATACACACACACACACACACACACAGGATGGTTTCGCCATTACCAAAGCACACCAGTGGTTGATCAGTAAAGATTCCATCTGGTAGCCAGAGTTACCAGTTGAATCAAATTATGTCCTGGGGAGCTGACCCAGAAGTGCTGATGAGAAATGGGAACAAGAGACAGCTGTTTTCACTTCGGATATTGTCCCCACTCTTATGTGACAGGGCTTTGAGGAATGCAAGTTTCTCTTGAACCTTTGTCTGGATATCGTCACCACCTGGCACTGCCATTCCCATCGGCCAGACCGACCTGTCCTCCTTGGAGCTGTAGACAATGTCTGGTCCACTGAGAAGGAGAGTCCAGCCAGAGTGTAACTTACTGTCCCACTCCTGCTTTACTATTATTGTGTTGCTGTTATTCATGGCCCCTGAAAAGAAACAGCACAGAGTGGGCCTCAACCACAACCCCGGCCAAGGCCACAAGGGTATCCTGCATGACACAGTTAAACCAGGCCTGTTTTAGAAGGTGTCCCTGGATCTGCCAGCGATACTGTGACAGACACACAGATCACGCAGGTCGTGGGTCTGTTTGACAAGGACTCACCTTGGCGGATGAAAGTTTGGCTGGTGTCCAGCAAGATGTCACAACCCTCCACTATCATTCTTTCGATAGCAAGGTTTTTCCTTATGTTTTCAGTGTCACTCACTTCATCGTGCATCACCCTGTCAGACACAATGCAGACAGGGTCACAACAGGAGATATTAACTGTTGCTCTAGCAGATAGGAAAGAAGAACTTTAACTGAGCTCAGATTTGAACTTGCATCAATTTAACTGGGCTATGGGGAAAGCACACTGGACCTCCAGGCTTTGACCAGTCACCACCAAAGCAAGGCCAACATGTGAGATGATTCCAAGTGGTAAATGGGTCAGCCATCAGTGAGTACCCTGGGAACACTTGCTTTGAATGCAATAGGAAAACAACCTATCATTCTATAGAGAGCTCTCCTCCTTGAAGTCAGAGTGTCACTTATTGAAGAGTAAATTTATCCCACAGAAGCTAAAGGATCATAGATGTAAGTAGGTGCCTGTGGCACTGAAAAGTAATTGAGAAATGCGAACTCTAATTGGTCTTGCTTTTGCCAAATCTGAATTCCAAAAAGGCAACTGAAAACCATTTTTCTAGTATGCTGAAAAATGTGAACATTTCCAAACCTAAACCAAAATATACCTGATCTCAATTACATAAATTCACATACTATAAATTTTTCAAACATATATGTTTTTCTTGAATAAAATTAATGAGAATGATGATTCAAGACCAGCTCAGGAGCTCACATGTTAACTTTAAGGTGAATCTAAGAAGTGGAATTTGTGTTTTACTTCTTGTTCCTTGGAACATACATACTAGGATTCCACAGGAGACTAACTTGCTACTTTCCCATCAGAAGCCTCATTACAAGTTCTCTGGATACCTGGACAGTTCCTCCAGTTTTGATTTAGCAAACTCCAGACTTTTCCTCTCCACGTGCTCATGGGGTGTGTGAGCCAGCAGCTCATGCAGTGTGATGATATACCTGGGAATCTAAATGCAAACAGAGACCGGTGTGAGCAGGTGGTCAGGACAGGTGACATGGGCATGTTCTCCATAGTGCCATCATCAGTCTGAGAAGCTTATCCCTACTTTTACAGGGTTGACTTAAAAAAAAAAAGTTCTCTAAAGAAATACATATAGAATGAACTGCAAACTTCACATACACCAAGAAAAGATTTCACCAAGGTCACAAGAAAAGTTATAAATGAGGGATTCGGGTACAAAGAAATCATTGTTTCTTTAACTTTTTACATAACCATATATATTTTGGATCAGATTTTGAAAACTGGCTCATAGGGAAACAGACACAGCTATCATCAAGCTACTTGAGCCTGCATTTGAAATAGTTTTGTCTGCTTACATATTTTTAAAAAACTCACAACCCCATGGCATTAATGTCTTTAGCAATTAAAACAGGAGAAAACAGGTTCACCCTTATTGCATTCTAATCTTACTTTATTTTACCCTCTAGCAATAAAGATATTATTTATTTATCTGTACTTTCAATTATGAACAGGTTACCTACCTGAATTCTATCAAAGTTAGAAACTATACCAACCATATGACAGTTTTAACAGATCATGCTAGACACTTAACCCAATTACAGTGATTTGATACTTATTTTTTCCACAGGCTTATAAAATAGAGGGTTTTTTTTTTTTTTTAGAAAGCATAGACTATGGGTTTAATTTTTACAAAGACACACATGAGGAATTCCAAGATGGCGGCTAGAGCCGGCGCAGAGAGTCTCCACTTCACGTTAAACGGAGAACCGAGGAGGCCCCCGGGCCGCCAGTGGCCCGCGCCCATACGGCTTGGAAGACGCGGACCAGGTGAGCTTCGCGGTACCGCGGTTCCCCCACAGACAAGCCTGGGCCAGAGCAGCATAGCCCCCTGGACAGACTGACCTCCACCCGGGAAAAAAAGAGAAACTGAGTAATAAGCAATAAGAACAGTTAAGACACGCTGGAAAGAGGGTGGGGCGCCCTGAGGGCTGAAGATTGGGGGAAGGGAATCCTTCCCGGGACTGTAAATAAACGAGCCGGGCGGGCGGAGAGGCTCTGGCGGAGCGGGCAGCGCCCAGCAACCAGGAGCAGGGACGCTTGTGAGAGGAGGGAAGACCCACTTCCCACGTGAACTGTAAATAAACACGCAGGCCTGACAACGCGGGGCAGTGTCACCTTTCCAGTGCTTGGAAAGGGAAAGCCTGTAGCAGAGGCTCCCCGCACAGGAGAACTCTGAGCAAACAAAGCCTGTGGGACCAGGTGAGTGCTAAGCTCACCCCAGATCTGCATAAATAACGCCGCCAGCTACAGGCTGAGAGCAGCAGGCAGGCAAGCCACAGTTGCAGATACCACTCTCAGAACTGCCTCCAGACGCTTTTTTTTCTTTTTCTCCCTACCTTTGATGAGAGAACAACCGATTACACCTGCAAGCCGAAAAACTTACTGAAACTGTATGCATTTGAACTGGGGACACTTGGTGGGGCTTTTTTTTTTTTTTTCTTCTGTGTGTGTGTGAGTGTAGTTTTGTTCTACTTTATGCATCCCCTTTGATGAGACAACTACAGAACAACATCTGAGGCACCAACTCCAGGACTGGAGATTGAGACGGACATCCAAATTATTAAGACTGAAATTGCATTGCATATAAACTTGGAAGTTTTTTGGTTTTTTCTTTTTTTTTTTTAATTTTCTATTTTCCATTTTATTTTAATTCATTTTTATAAATAGATATTACTTTCATATACTTATTTTTATTTTTTTTATCTTTGATTTTCAATCCTCTCTCTGTCACTCTATTGTCTGTTCAGCTTACTGTCAATTAGTACACTAACACTCCCTGTTTATACCTTTGAAACTCTCTTGTCTGATACCTTGTTCTGCTTTCTCCCTCTTGTCTGTATATTTGTTTTCCCCTTTTCTTTAACTTCTTGCTTTCCATCTCCAGCTCACTCTTCCATTCTCAATATTACCATTGTTATTATTACAAGCTAGAAAATACTTAATTACACACAGTACAGGGACAGTAACAACACCAAGGACAATGACAGGAAGACAGAAAAAACAAGGAAACCAGTTTCCCCACAGCAAAAAATTAGTACAGGAACCAGAGGGGAATGAAGAGAACAGAAATCAGACCCAGACTCCAACAAAATGAAGATAAACTATGCCAAAGGACCCAATGAAGCCTACAAGAATAATTTAAAAGAAGACATACTACAAGTACTCAATGAGAATTTTATAGAGATGATACTGGATAGGGTCAACCAAAATGTACAGGAGACACTCAAGAAATTCCAAGACAATAAAAATAGAGAATTTGAAAAAGCAAAAGAAGAAAAAAGGAAACCATAGAAGCACTGTATAAACACCAAAGTGAAAGAGAGAACACAATGAATAAATGGATAAATGAACTCAGGACAAAAATAGACAACAATAAAGAAGAAAACAGCCAGGATATGGAAAACCTCAGAAAAAAGAACGAAACAGAACTGCAAAACAAAACGGAAGGCCAATCCAGCAGAATAGAACAAACAGAAGACAGAATCTCAGAACTTGAAGATGAAATGGTAATTAAAGGAAAAACTGAAGAACTATTAATTAAACAACTCAAGACCTGTGAAAAGAAAATGCAAGAACTCACTGACTCCATCAAAAGACCAAACTTGAGAATCATGGGCATCGAAGAAGGAGAAGAGGTGCAAGCGAAGGGAATGCGTAATATATTCAACAAAATAATAACGGAAAATTTCCCAAATCTAGAGAAAGATATTCCCATACAATGCAAGAGGCCTCCAGGACACCAAACAGACCAGATCAAAATAGAACTACTCCACGACATATCATCATTAAAACAACAAGTTCAGAAACTAAGGAAAGAATATTGAAGGCTGTAAGAGAGAAAAAACAAGTAACATACAAAGGTAAACCCATCAAAATCACAGCAGACTTCTCAACAGAAACATTAAAAGCAAGAAGAGCGTGGGGTGAGATCTTCCGGGCACTGAATGAAAATAACTTCAACCCCAGGATACTCTACCCAGCAAAGCTATCATTCAAAATAGATGGAGCAATAAAAGTCTTCCATGATAAGCAGAAACTAAAACAATATGTGACCACAAAGCCACCATTACAAAAGATTCTGCAAGGGATCCTGCACACAGAAAGTGACACCCAACTTAACCATGAAAAGGCAGGCAGCACCAAACCACAGGATAAGAAAAAGCAAGACAGTAGAGAGTAACATCAAGTTAGGTACACACAATCAAACCTTCAAACAACTAAGATAACTAAATGGCAGGAATCACCACATACCTATCAGTACTAACACTTAATGTTAATGGACTTAATTCACCCATCAAAAGACACCGTTTGACAAAATGGATTAAAAAAGAAGATCCAACAATTTGTTGCTTACAGGAGACTCATCTCACCGACAGAAATAAGCATATGCTTAGGATGAAAGGCTGGAAGAAGATTTACCAAGCCAATGGCCCCCGAAAACAAGCAGGAGTAGCAATACTTATCTCTGACAAAGTAGACTTCAAACCTACATTGATCAAACGAGATAAAGAAGGACATTCCATACTAATAAAAGGGGAAATAGACCAAAAGGAAATAATAATCATCAATCTGTACGCACCAATGTCAACGCACCCAATTTCATCAAACATACCCTGAAAGACCTAAAAGCATATATAAACGCCAACACAGTGGTTGTGGGAGACTTTAACACTCCATTATCATCAATAGATAGGTCATCCAAACAAAAACTCAATAAAGAAATCCAAGATCTAAAATATGCAATAGATCAAGTGGACCTAGTAGATGTCTACAGAACATTTCATCCAACCTCTACACAATATACATTCTTCTCAGCAGCCCATGGAACCTTCTCCAAAATAGATCATATCCTAGGGCACAAAGCAAGCCTCAGCAAATATAAGAAAATAGAAATAATACCATGCATACTATCTGACCACAATGCAGTAAAAGTAGAACTCAACAACAAAAGTAAAGACAAAAAACATGCAAACAGCTGGAAACTAAATAACTCATTACTTAATGAAGAATGGATCATCGATGCAATAAAAGAGGAAATTAAAAAGTTCCTGGAAGTCAATGAAAATGAAAACACAACCTACCGGAACCTATGGGACACAGCTAAGGCAGTCTTGAGAGGAAAGTTTATAGCCATGAGTGCATATATTAAAAAGATTGAAAGATCCCAAATCAATGACCTAATGATACATCTCAAACTCCTAGAAAAACAAGAACAAGCAAATCCCAAAACAAATAGAAGGAGAGAAATAATAAAAATAAGAGCTGAAATCAACGAAATAGAAACCAAAAAAACCATACAAAGAATTAATGAAACAAAAAGTTGGTTCTTTGAAAAAATAAACAAGATCGATAGACCCCTGGCAAACCTGACTAAAATGAGGAGAGAAAAAACCCAAATTAGTAGAATCAGGAATGCAAAAGGGGAGATAACAACAAACACCATGGAAGTCCAGGAAATCATCAGAGACTACTTTGAGAACCTATATTCAAATAAATTTGAAAATCTAAAGAAATGGACAGATTTCTAGATACATATGATCATCCAAAACTGAACCAAGAGGAAATTAATCACCTGAATAGACCTATAACACAAAATGAAATTGAAGCAGCAATCAAGAGTCTCCCCAAAAAGAAAAGTCCAGGACCTGATGGATTCTCTGCTGAATTCTATCAGACCTTTAAAGAAGAACTGATACCAACCCTCCTTAAACTGTTCCATGAAATAGAAAGGGAAGGAAAACTGCCAAACACATTTTATGAAGCCAGTATTACACTTATCCCAAAACCAGGCAAAGACACCTCCAAAAAGGAGAACTATAGGCCAATCTCCTTAATGAACATTGATGCAAAAATCCTCAACAAAATAATGGCAAACGAATTCAGCAACACATCAAAAAGATTATTCACCACGACCAGTAGGCTTCA